CAAAAGTAAATAATTCTCAATATTTTTCTAAATAATCGGAATAAACAAACTAAAAATTAAGGGAAAAAAGGGAATTTTTACACACAATCAGTTTTCGACAAAATTGATTTTGGTTTTTGATGTAACTTTAAAACAAATGACTGCAGATTCTTGAAATTTGTACTGAATACAAGAATTTTATATAGTTTATAAAATTTTCAAAATATTTAAATTTGTTTTGTGCTGTTTACTGACATTTTAATTTTTCAACTTTTTTAGTTTTTTTTTTTTATGAATATCGATAAAAATGTATTTGTTGGGTAGAAAAGTTTGAAAATTTAATTCAAGACACCTAACATATTGTTACAATAGCAGTTGAAAAATATTAAAAATACATATGCACGAATGCACAATTTTATTTTTATAAGCATTTTAAGTTCAAATTTTGACTAAATACGTAAAAATTACGGTAATGTTCAAATTATCTTAGATAAAAATTCATAAGAGTTTTTTTTTTTAAATCTAAGATTTGAAAATTATTAATAATCTTTAATATGTCCTTGACAGTTGAACTGTTTCCGCTCAGAATCGTTTTTTGTATACAATGATATAATATCATTGGATTCAAATTTAATTTCATCCATTACAGTAACCCACTTGTAACCTACTGTACAGCAGTGTGTCATCCACGACTTACCAGCTTTTTTGAATAAGTTTGTCAGCTCACAAATTTGTTTRGATGTATAGTGTACTTAAAATCTATAATTACTTATAACCTGTTACTCTATTAGACATTACTGGATTGTTCATTAAAAATAAATATATTGTTAGTAAAATATTGAATTTAAAAAATATTAATAAATAATAATGGTTTTAAAAAAACCTGAGAACTGAATGTACTGTATTCAAAATATGCTGAGGACCAAACATACTATGGCTAAGAACACTTTGGGACAAAACATCCTTATTTAATAATTGCTGGGGGGCGAAACTTTTGTTGACTAATTTTTTTTTTTTTTTGGAAGGAGAACCCGCGGCAACATAGGCCATTGGGTGTGGGGTGGTATGTTAGGGGTTATTTTTGTATATTTGTTTGTAGGTTTTTAAGTGGGTATTGTTGTAACACGTGTTTGTGTATGTGTGGCAAGGTTTTGTTGCTAAAAATCCCGGGTGGTCATCCATCCTGGAGCTAGCAACTGCGGCTGTTACGTACACTCAGTGCATTTCCGCAGATTAAGCGTACGACCGCGCCTCACCAAGCCACTGACTGGTTTTTATACTGGGACGAAACAGTGAGGATGAAACATCCGTTAACCTATTATTCAATTGTACTAATTCCTAATGTACACACTATTTTTAACTTAACTGTTTAATTATTAACTATCAGTGGTGCTGAATAAAATTAAAACTAGCAGTTAAAATAATTTGACCCTCTTACCACTTAAAACAAATTAGAAAAAGGCATGACTAATAATATATAATTTAATGTCATTCCTGTATTCAATACAATTTTGTCAGGAAGACCCAGAAGTATACTAGTAATATTATTTTACCTAAACAATTTTTTTTAACTACCTGAAGTAGATAAACATGTATATCAATTCTATATTCTTTCTCTTTTATGAGATGTTATTTCAGAAAAATAAGTATGTTTTTAATTTTAATTTCTATTCAAAACATTTTCTAGCTTGATGTCGCAAATTTTATTGTATTTATGAAATTAAGCCAACTTACTACAAAGCTTAAAACCTTGATCATATCAGAATTAATTGATGATGATTTTATGTTAAAAAATTATGATGGTGTAATTATGTTTGAATATGATAAGGAACAGCGTATATGCAATACTTATAAATCAAAACTAAAACACTTTAGAACTAATTCGGATGAATCAGAAATATATTTGGTAAATGAGAATTTTGTAAGTAGTCAWAATCTTTAGATATTACTATTAAGTAAATAAAAATTATATTATCTAGTTAATAATAATTTATTTTATTGTTTTACAGACTTATTTCTTATTTGAATATTTGAGAATGCTATCAAAATTGAAAAAAGAAAATACACTAGAAAAAAATCTTAAGCTCCTATTAAAAGTTGCTAATGATGAGATTTTGGCTAAAAATTTTCATGTTATTTCAGATATTCTTCCTCAAACAACAAAGTTACTTATTTTGCAAATAATTACAAATTGTATTTCCATGCCCGAATTTAATTTACAAAGTTGTGAATTTCTRAATTCTAAAAATAAAGATTACAAGTAAGATCTCTAATATTTTTATTGATTATTATTCATTATATATAATACATATATACGCTTTAATTTAAAGATCATATTATTATATGACATTTACATTGTTTACCTTTATAGGTTAGAAATGTGTGCTGTCACTTTTTATACGCTTCAGAACATTTGTGATCATTTAAAAAATGAAAAAATGAATCAATCATCACAAATTTTATCCAAGTTTAATGTTGAAAGTATTATTTCATTAATTGATTTACCACTTGATCTCTCTTTTGAAAAAACTTTTGAAGAATCAACAAAACTTATTACTTTAAAAAAATACCAAAACATCATAGAGGTACCTTCAAAKAAAATCAAAAAGTATGTTCTTCTGTTTTGTTTTTTAATAATCATTTATAATAAATTGATAATTAGGTTTTAAATTTTAAAATTAAATTTCTATAACTATGTTTAACATTGTATGAATGTTTATTTATATTTAATACTTGGTTAATTGAATTGATTATATGTTTAGTATGGTACCTTCAAAAATTTAGATGTACTTTTGATGAAATAATTTATTGGAATCAATAAGTCTATAATTGTTTGCAGTACCCTAATATATCTTCTTTGCCAACCTCTCATATTCATGTCGGATACAGGGCCGCAGATTTTTGGCTATGTCTTTGTTGTATAATATAATTGAAATAATTTTCATACATTCACTACTGCTTCGTCAAAATAATTCTTGCTTTTAAAATTAAAGACGGGTCAATTTCAATTCATGCTAAAATGCCAAAAACACTTTTTGTATGCTCACTATAGCCACACTCTTCTTACTTCAATCGACTTAAAAAAAATTTTTTTAAGCATTCTGGAGGTTAGGTAAACTCTCAAATTGATCCCTCTCTACATGTGCCTCAATTTAATAATATAGTTGTTGACCAGTAAAATATTTTGGGTAACCATAAGACACATCGTAACACATTTCAAAAATTACTAACATGAATGATTTATGATTTTGTAATTTAAAGAAATTTTAAATTTGTTATAGTTATATTAATGAATTATATCATATTTTTTTTTATTGTTTTAGGTGTCTGGAAGTTCTTGAATTATTAAGCATTTCATTAAGAGGTCATCAAAAACAAATTCATAACAGTCCATTTTCGTTAGTACTTCTATCTATACTTTCTGAATTTGTTATGGCTACTAATCTTGATAATTCCGCCATTATCAAGTTGATTRAACTTATTATTGGTAATTATATTTGAAATATTTACAGCATTTTTTATGTTTAATTATTAATTCGTAAATTTTCATCATTTAGGTTTTTTAAAAATATGTAGACTTCCCATGCAATTCCTTGCAGTATCTTTCGCATTTAATATTTATCAAAAATTGAAATCTGATGATGAGCTGGAACATAAATTAATGCATTTATTTAAAAATATTTCAAACACATTAAACAAACATAGTTTACAAAACCAGGATATAATAAAGGATTTGGAAAAATTTATAAATGTTGATACAAATTGGGTAGATAAAGCAATTATTATATCATGTTTCTTAGGTGATATTCCKGTAAGTTTTATTGTGTATTTTGTGTTATAACTTTTGTTTAACTCTTGTTATTTGTATTTCTTAAACAATATTATATCCACACAATATCCCTACAATTGTGTTTATTGTAAAAATATTTTATACAAATTGTACAAATTAAAATAAATGACAAAAAAAAATCCATACAATAGTATATATATATATTTTTTAGTAACATGATTTAAAATTTATTATGATAAAATAAAATTATTAACAAATTTATTTTTAATTATATAAAAGTGTATTAAAAAACTTCTTATATTTTAGGAAACACATTTACATACAAATACAAATTTTATTGAATTTTATTGTGCTTTAAATGAATTTGTAATACTTTCTTCCAAATACATATGCTCAGAAACACATCGTTTAGTTTATCCTTACGCCCTATCATTGAATTTTTCAATAGTAAATAAAAATGAAGATTGTTTATTTAATAATTTAGCTATACTTGATGACTACATTACCATTTTAGTAAGAATATTTTAAATTAATTTATTTTTATTATTCTATAATATAATGAATAATGATGTTCTATGTGTATTATATTTTTTATTTTTAGTTCAATGAAGATRTTAAAGTGCGATTGGAAGATAAAAAATATCTTTTAAATACTATTTGCATGCATTATGAAATGGTTGCTCACTGTTTACCTAAAGGGTTCTTATTGAAATGTTGGGAATATGTTTTAAACCCTATTAACATGGATGATGACATTTCTAAAWTATTATTGGATTTATGTTCTTCTAATGATTTAATAAAATTCATTAATGTTTTGAAAATCGAAACAGTAAGATATTATTTAATAGTTTATATAAGTATTAATGTTGTGGGTATATTTTTTTTACTATTAATTTAATATAAATATTATCTATATATTTTTATTTGAAAATTTTAAAACCATTTTATACTTYAAGTATTGTACTACAACAAAATTAAATAATTTAATTTATTAATTATTTTATATATCTTACAACATCTAAATTCTTGATATGCATAATATATTAATTGTTATAACTATATTAAAATTAAATTTTTATTAGATAACAATCATTGAAGGAAACGAATCAGCTATAAATCAAAATTATTGTGAATATATTCATGGACTATGGTCTTTTTTACTAAACATTTCATTTATTAATCAAAAAAAAAAAATTCGGAAGGATAATATAAATCATCTTTGTTTTGTTTTAAATAGAACTTACCTATTTAACAAAAATAAAATTCAAACAGAACAAGGTTTGATTTTATTATTAAAATTAGTTTGTTCATTACTACAAATACCATGGGTAAGATTTATTATTAGTTAGTTTATTAGTACTAAAATAGTTATATCATACTTTTGCTATTTATACAATATAACAGGAACTCAATATATATTTTTGTTATTTTTATCAAATTATTATCTTAACATTAAATTAAATAGCTTATAATTTTATAATAGTTAGGGTCCAGATTATTAGATTTTTACACATTATCGACTATTGTGAGTATGTAGTTTTAAAGGAATAAAAATGTGGACTATTTATTCAAAACTGAGCTTATAGAAAAAATGTTCTTTGAATATTTCAGGGATTATTTAATATATATTTTATTTTCTTAAGCATATCTTGAAATATTTTGTAAATTGTAAGATAAAATTACTAATTAAGTTTACATTACTATACTATAATAATAATTTATTAATAAGACAAAATAATAATATTTTATTTAATGTTTCAATAAATTTGTGTTAATTTTAATAATATAATTAGTTTTCAGATTTGTTTTTTTGAGATTGTTAGCATCATATTTCAACTTTTATTGAATCTTAAATTTTGGGCTTAAGTTATAATTTTTTCGATACATGTTAAGTTAATATTTAAAAAAAAAGTATAAGTTAAAACTCAACACTATGACATAGATAATGAACTCAATTGTTTTAAATTTGATTAAAAATTAATCAACTCTAACGTTGACTCAGAACAAATAAAAGTATACCTGTATACATTTTTATATATTTATTTATTTGAAGATAGAGATAAAAATTCTGTAAAAAGTATTCAAAATTGTTTGGTTCCTCACTCATACTGTCTAGGATTTATGCATGTTTAATTTAATTGTAATGTTCCAAAAAAATATAATTAATGATTTATATCACTTTAAAAAAAAATCCATTCAAATTATAAATTGCTTATTAAAATATTTTGTGTTATCTTTTATTTTGATATCTATCAATAATATGTGCAATATTTTATTCTCAATGTAGATCAACAAAACTACAATGTTGAATTGTTCATTGAGAATACTGACTTTTGTTGAAAAAAGTACAAGCAATGCAGCAAAATTACTTATAGAAGCTTCTGAACTATTAATAGTTCTTTATAAATGTCCAAATAATTTGATAAAAGCACATTTAGGACTTTATGTCACTTCATTTTCTAACATTTTAAAAAAATGTTTCTCATCTATATGTTCTTTGTCTGAAGACTCATCATTGGATAAAAATTATTGTATACCTTTCCACAAACTTGAAAAGTAATAAACACATCATACATAATATAAATTAATTATATTTCTAATATTTATTTTATTTATTTTTATTATTTAGATGTTCAAGATTGTTCAAACAAAATAAAAACGATTTTGATATTATATGTCGTTATGTTATAGAAGACTTGATTGAACTTATTTCAGAAGAAACTATTCTTGTGGGCGTGATTATGGTAAGTTAATAAAGAAGTTTTAACTGCAAATTATTAATTTCAAATTCATAAATTTACAGAGACATTATTTCAATATCATTTTCAATTTTATGGATATTTGTTCATTTGAAGAAATGAAGAAGCTAATGTTTAATATTCAAGGAACCTCTTTAATGATGTTAAGAAATGCATATGATGAGTACAGATTAAATGTTAGATTTACTGGAAGACTTTAATACATTTTAAAATTGTTATCTATTATATTTTGAACTAAATGTGTGTTTATCTTTAAAGTATTAAGCGAATAAAATAATATTTATGTTCAACTTATATGATGCCTTTACTTTCTACGTAAAATAGATAATAGTATTGCGATCTGTGTATCATAATGTTATTTTAATATTTCATCGTTTTATCATCACACAATAAATTACGTTAATTATGTGTGTGTGTCAGAGTCATCAAACTTATTTATATTTACATACATCAATTGCAAAAGTCTTTCCCCAATGAACATAATTGATTTATCTTAAAAAGTTATTTTAGCATATTTAGTGTTTACAATATACGTAAGTTACAGTCTTAGCACAATATCAAACTTTAACATTATTAATGAAAAAATCCATTTCAGAAAAAAATACAGCATAATATTATAAAATTGTATCGTTTTCACTTATTTGAATTATATTAGCATTACCTATCCAATAATCAAAATATGAAAATCATACAATTTTAAAATATTATGCTGATTTTTAAAAAATATAAATAGCTCTTGTTCATTCAAACCTCAACCAATTAAACAACTGATTTTTCCCATGTTAAAAATAAATAAAATTTCAAGTTTTGAAATCTATTTTTTGATCACAATAAAAGAGAGTGGCTATTGCCTATTATAGCTATATTATTACATTAAAAAAACTACCAAGATATCAGCGTTATATTTCAGATTAGAGTTACTTAGTATCCAATTAATAATTAACACACTGTGTATGTAATATGATATACCTACTGTTAGCAACTTAACTTGGCTACCCTAATCTAGCCTTCCTGATAGATGAATGCCTGGCATCTTACTACCAGAACACCAGATGTTTGGTCTGTTTTCTCGTTTTCTACCGTAGCTAGTCTCAATGTCTGGGTGGCGAGAAATAGGATTCGCAATGTATCTGACAGTAGTATAACCATAGAATATTATATTATATTGGTATATATTATATATGGTATAACTTTATTTTGTTTTTATGTTTTATAATCAATAAATGTAGTTTCATGAATATTAATTTGGCCGTTAAGTAGTATTATTCAAATCATTCTTTAACACTAGGACACTAGGTACTACAACTAATTGTCAAGTGCCTAGCTTAATCCAGTAGCGGTCCCATCTATTTAGGTACAATTGAGTACAACTGGGGCCACYTTTGGCTCAATCTATTAAAAAGATTTTTTTTAATTAAATCTATTATTTATTTAATTGCTCAATATATCAACTCAAAGTCAGACAACATATAATGGCATAAGAATAAAAATAGTTTATAATTCATATAACACTATAGCTTAGAAGTTGTAGGARCTGTATATTGTATGTTCTCGATTTATAGCAGACCAAACTATACAATAGTGAATTAAAAATTTGATGAATATTAAATAGGTTTCACCAATTTTTTGGGAAAAGAGCATGTTTTTTGATTTTCATAAAAATGTTATGGATATCTAATATTTTCAACAAAAATATCATCAACATTTGATTTCTGTGCTAAATTTTGTTACCAATTCTTAATGTTCCGTGGTTATTTGAATAATCATTATGTTCCTTTAATATTTTGTTTATTGAAAGATAAAAAAGAAGTAACTTATAAAAAATGTTTTCAAACAATACATGAATTATGTAATGAAGTTGATAGTGGTGAATTCAAACCAAATAAAATTGTAACTGATTTTGAAATAGGATTACGAAATGCTTGCATGTTACAATGGCCCGGAGTTAAAATAGATGGTAGTCATTTTCATTTATCGCAGGCATGATGGCGTGCAATTCAAAGATTTACTCGCAAAGTCGCGACGGACTATTAAAATGACGAATTAGAAATTAGTAAATGGCTACATTATTGTTTTGGATTGATAATTTTAAACCCAYTCGGAAGATGTTGAAAACTGTTTTTAGGTTTTTACATAACTATTATATACTTGGTATCTCCAAAAACGGTTATCTGTAATAATTTATGATATATGATATCGTGTTCGGTCATTCAGTATTTTCGAAACAATAAAATATAAAATCAATATGCACTATGGCCACTATGCTTGTAGCACTTGTGTGTTGTGTAGTTGTGTCTTGTGTGTATCACATCTTTTCCATCTATACACTCCTCAYGCTATAGGTATAACACTGTTTAAGTATTGACCTGTACAACACATTAAATCAAGCGATGACCGTTTGAATACATCTTATGATTATTAACAAAATACATATAATATTGGTATTGGTGAACGAGCAATTTTTCCACTTACAGTCTGGACAGAAGCTTCCTCCGAATTGACAAAATCCACCAATGCTTGTGAATCATTTCATGTMATTTTAAATTAAATTTTAACCATAGCCATCCAAATATTTTTATTGATACATTAAAGGATATTCAATCAAAAATTTACATAAAATTACAAAATATACATAAACCAAATAGTTGCCATAATAATAAGTTAAAAAGACGACAACAATTATTAAACTAGTAGTTAATATAAAATTATAAATAACAAAAAATAACTACATTTTATTATATAAAAACAATTTCACATTATTACTCCATGAAAAAATAACATCAAATCAACAACATTTACAATCAACACATGATTTGATGGTAGTACTTGATCATTTTAATAAGACTAGAATGACGATGAATATTTTCTAATTATAAAATATAAATACAGAAATATATACATGCAATTAGAAATTCAAAAATTTTTGGTGGATAACTAAAACCATTGATTATAAATACTATTTATAATCAATGCTAGAACCCCCTCCACGGGGTGTCCTCTGGGTTACGTTAAATAGTTCTAATTTTTATAGGGGAGTTTACGTAAGTGCATTACGGTAGCAAAATATTTTTAAAGTGGTTTACATTTGCCCATTTTTCCATTTTTAGCTCACTTATAACTTTCAACCGTTCGAGCTCTGCACATAACTGTTAACTACAGTCTATATAGTCATAWAGAGCACAATTAATAGCACATCATTAAACAGGGGCGCATCGCGCATAGCCCATATTCGTGGTCTAGAGACTGAAGTCAGAAGACAGAAATAGTTAATAGATATATATATATCCACCTTGTAGATATCTTTATTTTATAATTTATCCATAGATATTGTAAGAATGGATAGGACATAAGGCTTATTAACTGAGAATAAACTCCGATAAAGTGATGACATTTTAGAGGTTACAAAGGTTTCTTTATTATTAATAACTGTAGCAAATAGTTAGAAATCAGAAGAGAAGTAGTAATTAGTTAACACTCATAACAGTAATAACACTTATACAATTATACCATTTTAAAACAATATAAATCTCCACTAGTAGGTATAGTGTAATAAAATGGTATGGGTGTATTCGAAGCGGCTATCTAGTATTAGCATTTAGCACAGATTATATAAAAAAAATAAATATAAATATAAATTAATACCTAAATCGGGCTAAATATAAATTATATTTTATATAATCCATGGTTTAGTGGTTTRGTCTTTAGTATATACCATTGGGTAAATATTCTGTGGTATACATCTATTATCTATGGATTTTATCAAATATAATATTTGATAATATCAATTGAAGTGATATCAATACTGATAAGTGATAACATATTAACATTAAAATATTAAATATAATTTTACAGATAATAATATGATGTACACATCATTAGAAAATAGAAATTAATAAAATATTATTGAACTTATGATTTTATTTAAATTTAAGTGTTTATTAGTATATATGTAGCATTTTATTATTATAATCTAGACAAATGTCTCATAAAATCACATTTTAAACGACAATCAATTCACAAAAAGGATGAGTTGGTTTAATCAGTTTGATGCCTCTGGTTTTGCAAGTCTCGCAAAAACAGCTCTTAAAGAAGCGCAAAAGACTATTGATAAAGCTTTGGACATTAAAGATGAAGAGGAATGTGATGAAGTACCACAAGAGTCAGAAACTCCAAAAGATACAGATAATCAAGATACTCAAAAAAAGATATCTAAATTGGGTTCAAGTTTGTGGAGTTCATTTACCAACTCAGTATTTGAAAATGAAGATGATGTGGCTGACAAACAAAGTGGTGTGTACTATATATACTAATAAATATTATTATTTATAAATTTCAAATATTATGTGATTAATTATGTACTTTATTCATTCATCATTTGAGTTAAGTATATCTATGAAAAATATATTTTAAAAATAGATATGCAAAACTTTTATTTTTTATTTTCACGTTTTTGAATTTTTTATTATAGAAATGAAGCAAAGCATGTCATTAGATTTATCTAAATCATCTGTAGAAAATGATTTAATTGTGGCAAATCAACCAGGTAGATCTACAGGACAATCGCCATCCACCCAAGAAGAACAATTTAATGTCATTGAAATTGATTCAGAATTAAACACTGATGTGGTTCGGAGAACAAAGAGTACAAGTTCTAACAATACTAATCGTCTTTCTGCTGTCAGCTGTGATAGTGATCGTAAATCTACAGTATCAACTGATAGTGTTGAAGTTCTTGGATCAACATCAACTACTACTCCCGAGTCATCATCTGTAGAAGTCATAACATCAAGTTCAGTTGAAGTTTTGGCTGTTATCACTGAACCAAATAGGTTAATTTTTTAACTAATTTAAAAATAATGTACACAAGCCTATATAATCATAATTTTGGACATATTATGGTTGTTAAACTTATCTGCTCTTTTAATGACTAGATGTATAGTATCCAAAATATACTCCCATAGTTCATACATATTAAATTTAGATAGATTTTATCATAACAATATGATTATTTAGTTTTTCATTGAAAAACAATAGGTCTTGWGGAACATATAATAATCAATAAAAAATATCTTATCAAAACATTCCATCTAAATACTTACTTATTCAAAGAAGCGATAGATCAAAGTTAATGTAGTTTTTTATAAGTTTTTTTTATATGAGAAAAGTAACTTAAAAAAATGTGTTAGGTATTTTATGAATTCAATTGCCTAAGACACATATACATGTTCTATTCTATAGTATGGCCAGGGAGATGATGATGGTGATGCATAGATAAATTGAGTTTTCAGCTGCAGCTGATTTCTCTTTGGACAGATTATATTTAATTTATTATTTAAAAAAATACATATTTGGAATACCATATTATTTTTATATTACGTATTGAAATACTCAGGGCCGGTTATAGGCATAGGCGAYGTAGGCATAAGCCTACGGCGGCAAAATTAATATTTATATAGAGGGGGCATATAAGAAAAGTTATAATAAAACAAGAGGCGGCAATTTTGATCTTTGCCTACATTTAAAAATTTGCTTGCACCGGCTCTGGAAATACTTAAAAATTTATAATCATATATATTATACTTATTAATTTTAATAAAGTAAGGCTTAAATCAATCAATGAAAGAGAAGAATCAGGAGTAAAATGTTAAAACCTTATTTGTTGCTAATTTTTAGTAGACCTATTGTTAATTTTCACTTTTTTTAGGCCCTTCTTTCAAATACTTTAAAAGTGACTAAATGCTTTTATGTTAACATGATTTATAGGGCAAATGATAGACAATATTCTCCAGATACAATAGAGCCGATTCCGGAATTAATTGAAGATGATGATAGTCTTACTTGCTCAATATCAGATAATGTAACATGTATGGCTAACGAAGACAGTTTATTACCACAACATGGAGGAATRTTATTGCTAAAATCTACCACCTCATCTTTAGATACTTCTTTTACCGAATTATCATCACCTCACGAAGTAAATCTTTTAAATAAAATATTAGTTTTAGATTCTGAACGTAGAGATTAACAGTACTCTACTGTACAGTTGAGCGATTACTTATTTTCCCTCACTTTTTACATGATTAACACTTATATTTAATTTTTAGAATTCTGGGGCATTAGATATACTAGAAGAAGAGTCTATTGAACCAAATTCTAATAGAAATAGTGTTATACTACAAGCAAATTACATAGAAAGCTTAGACAGTTTAAAGAATGTCCAAAATAGTATGAATATTATAAATACATTAAACACCAGTAACTCATCAATAGATTTGTTAAAAGTATCTGATACTACTTTAGAAAGCAGCAGTTGTGATGATGGTAAATATTATTTTATTAAATACATTTAAGAACTATCATTTGATCAATATTAAAATAAAGTATGACTTAATATGATTTATATTAATATTTTTTTCTATTATGTTTTTAAAGAAACCATGGTTGGTAGTACACTAGATGCAACATCTGYGAATGAAGAATGTGATCCATCGCCACAAGCTTCTATAGATAAGTAAGATACTTATCAATGAACATTGAACTATTCAAAAATTAATATTTTGAACATTTAGTATCAAAATTATGTATTAACAGATGACATGATAAATATTTACATTTTTTATTTATTTTTTATTAAC